GCCGACCTGACTGCATCTGTTTACCCTATTGTTCTCTCGAAATGGCATTTTATTGGACGATCCCTGTAGTCCATTTCCCTTTCTGGTCGTGACATGTTGATCTTGTCTCAAATATTGTGTCTTGGCAGCGGGGTACTGACATTCCCCTCAGTTTCCTCACGAAACTCCAATGAACAACTCTAGAAAGTAGTCCTAGAAAGCAGTTGGGGTGAGCCTTGGACATCTTATAGGTTATGAGATTTGAGCTCGGTACTAAGCCCATTCACATCTTAGGTGTGCATGCGACAAGTCCACGGTGAGATCACCTAACTGGACACATCACATCTGCCCATCCGGGGTTCTAGAGTGGTCTCCAAGCCTTTCCGATATTGTGCTCAGCCTTGGGAGGTAAGCAACTCGTCACATCCTTGGATTAGGGCCACCCGATATATGTAGAAGAGCATATCGGTATGCTAACCTTGAATTCCGCATGGTTTTACTATATCGATATCAGTAGGATGTATTGCAACAATTCCTGTCGCTTAACCTGCGCAGATAAGACGTTAATACACCTGCACCACATTTAGGTGACTCAGCCATATTTCCCCTTATCGGGTGGGTCTTTCCTATTTTAGCCGCCGGGCTTCCCACCTACAACAGTAAGTAATATATGGGCGCTTAATCACTAAATATCTATGCTGTATGGATGTATTTAAGACATCTCATGTAAAGTATCTCTTCGACATGGATCTCTGCGGACATGATGTTCTAGTTGGTGTTGAATAGTCTTCCTAGATCTTCATGTGTTACCCACTGAACAACAAAGGGATAAGATTAAGCCCAGACACAATCATGTTCTTCTTGTCCGATTAATTCAACAGTGATCCCCATACTATACAACATATACTAATACTACATAACTAACTAGTTAACTAGTTAGTTACAACATACAACAGTAGATGTTATCGGTGGGTACATCATCGTCACATGGTTCCATCAATGACGACATTCTCCATATATAATCTCCTTGCATGTAAATTTCTGAAATAGGGCCGATGCCCTAGCCCTGACCCAGTGAGAAGTATTTAAGAACACTCAGGGGAATTCTGATCCAACATCCAAACTCCTTGGATCATAGGAATTCACCACAATCTTTTTTCAACCTTTTTGGTCTACTATCACTCAGTTCAAACAGACATAAGAGGAATTCATTCATTCCTCTCCCCATTGAGCTTTGTATATTAACAGAAAGCGACCGATATTACTAAAAGAACAAACAGATCACTATTTTACAAAGAACCTACCTCGCTGCCGCTGGAAACAAATATTTCTAGGCCCGAGTGGTTAATTGTTCTATACCCATTCCCCCACTTTAGGGGAATGCTCCGACTGGTCCAGGTAAATATCGACCCCCTGAAATGCCCTTGCTACCCGCCCCCAAACACATCTATCTCTATGATGATTGACCTTCCCTTTCTGCAAAGAATTTGTTGAATCTGTGTCCATCTACATTGTTTTCATATTGGTCTCTGAGTTACTGAAATTGTTCTATGATTTCTTAATTTGTCCCATCATTCTAAGATTTATGGCTAATTGATTGTTTTGATTAGATGCATCCACAAATGGGAAAACCTGGGATATGGGATATATAAGGACAGTCATTAGTAGATCATCAATTAAATTTTTACATTGTCTTTACGACTGTTCGTTATTGTACAAGATAGTTATATTGTGCGCTTATGACGTATCATATTGTTGAGAAGTATAGTTGTATTTCGGTTATGCTCTGTCTGGATTTAAGACTGGAATATAATGAACATGTAGATTGTTGATGCTGTCCACAATGTAACTACCTCCTATCTCATCATGTCAAAATCTTGTTCATCCCATCATGGAGACGTAGTCACAATATATATATTCTATGCCAAACTTCATACCAACCTCAATAAATCTACCACAATTACTCGAACCACTAAGCCTACGCTGATGACCAAACCCAGAGCCCTCAATTCCATTATTGAATATCCCCAGACCAACCCCGCGTTTGTAATCTCAAATGTAGAAGTAGCATCCCATATTGCTTTACGTTGGGCGTACACACACACTCACACACTCACTCGGAATAATGGATATGGACTTCGCAAAGAATCAAATTAATTAGACTCCGAAGTTGGAGAGAGAAAGATAATGGAGACCAATATGTTTCTCCAACTTTTGGAATACCGGGCCGGTGCGATAACGTGGGTGTTCAGATGCCCCACCAAATTTTTACATAAGTGCGGGACTCCCCGATTACTCACTTAAGACAGACAGTACAACCTTGGAACATCTTTTTCCAGTCATACCTACATAATGCCGTCCATTCAAGAGAGCAAACTGGCCTTCATTGGCGGTGGCAACATGGCCTCCGCCATCATTGGTGGTCTGCTGAGCAAAGGCGTCAACAAGCAGAATATCTGCGTCTCCGAGCCGTGGGATGTTAACCGCGAGAAGATAGCCGCACTCGGAGTGCGCACCACCACCTCCAATGTCGAGGCTGGAGGTGATGCCGATTTGGTCATCATTGCGGTCAAGCCCCAAGTCACCAAGGCTGTATGCCAGGAGCTCGGCGGTGCCTGGTCGCCCCGCGCGACTTTACCCGTCGTTGTTAGCATTGCCGCGGGTATTACCCTTGACAGCTTGAAAGAATGGTTGACAACTAGCGATAGCCGTACAGCCCACACTGTTCGCGTGATGCCTAACACCCCCGCCCTGGTTAGCGAGGGTGCTTCAGGTGCTTTTGCTAGCATGGATATCACCTCGGAGGAGAAGGAGCTTGTCAATGCTATGCTCGGAAGCGTTAGCAAGGCTACCGAGTGGGTGGACCGCGAAGATCTTCTCGATGTCGTCACTGGATTGTCCGGTAAGTCTCATCTGCATCAAAAGCCATACGGCATGTCACTTAACGCGTATCAATCTAACCCAATCAGGATCTGGACCTGCCTACTTCTTCGCCATGGTTGAGCACCTAGTTGCAAGTGCAACGGCTCTCGGCCTCCCCGAAGAACAGGCCACTCGTTTGGCTACACAGACATGTCTTGGTGCTGGCAAGATGCTGGTTGAGAGCTCTGACGGGCCTTCTCAACTGCGTAAGAATGTGACTAGCCCCAATGGCACCACATACGCTGCTCTCCAGACATTTGAGTCTCTCAACTTTAAAGAGATCGTCGACAAGTCTGTCCAGGCGGCCACTGCTCGGTCTGCTGAGCTCGGAAACCCCTCTACCAAGCCATAGAAAGGGCAACTCAACAGAAATGAATAGCTGGAATCTATGTAACGATATCCAAGATACTCATGCGAAAATGAACCAAATAAACAAAATCCAATAACCCCATGTGACCTAATAGTAGCACTGGAGATTCCCCAAATGTCGGAGTCACGACTCCGATCTGACGTGGTCCGTGCGTGTCGCCTTCCTAAACTTGGAACAGCTTGACAGGAGAGCTTCTCCTCCTTAGTTCATAGGCATACTATGTATGTACAATAATGGTTTCTTTTTGGCCCTGGAAGGTGAGATATATGGTACTTGATTGTTTCGCTGTACTGTCACTAACATTATCAGGGCAATGACACCTCCGCGGCTTCTTTTGAGAAGACCCTATCCACGCTGTCGACTAAGATAGCCCAGGCTACCACGCGACTCGACCAGCAACGTCAGTCTTCCCGGCGAATCAAGGCTCTCTGGACCCTCTACTCGACATTCGCCTATCTGTTTTACTCCATCATTCTCGCCCTCGTACTAGGATGGGAGAGCTGGGGGATCAAGGAATATGCAGCCATCGCAGGCGGGCCGGTCCTGTACGTCTGTCTTTAATCTGCACATTCCAACCACGCTAACATGCAGTTCTTTTTTTCCTCTAGTATCTACGGTGTGCGCACGCTCAGCTCCAGAATCTTCGACTACCGAATTTCCCGCCTCCAACGCCGCCTGGACGATTTCCATAGACAGCGCGAGGAGACCATCGAAAAACTCAAGGTCGCAACCAAGTACAACTCCACCCAGCAACTGCTAGAGAAGTACGGCGGTGAGTCCCCGAAGCCCTCCCCGGGTCCAAAGGGACAAACCGAGAAAGGAAAGCCCGCCCAACAGCCACAGCCTGTGCCCCGTACTGGTCTCCCGCCGCCGCCCACTGCCAATATTCGCCGTCCTCCCTCTGCATCGCAAACCCAGAACGAACCGCCGTCACCCGATTATCCCTCTCCTCCTCTCGAGTTAACCCAAGGCGGCCCGCAAACCCCACAGCAGCCCTCTTTCCCACCTCCTTTCACTCCCCAACCACCCACCGATCAACCCAGCTTTGCGCCGAACGCATTCACTCAGAACGGAGAATCCATCGAACAACCACATTGGTATGACCGTCTTTTGGATGTTCTGCTCGGAGAAGATGAAACCCAACCGCGCAATCGGATGGTCATGATCTGCAGCGCATGTCGGCTCGTGAACGGCCAGGCTCCCCCTGGGACCAAAACACCAGAAGAGCTGGGCCGCTGGCGGTGTGGAAGCTGTGGAGCTTGGAATGGTGTGGAAAGCGAGACAACAAAGATTCTCAACAATTTGCGTCAAGATGCCGTGCCAGCCGAGGGAACTTGGGAGCCCGTGTCAAAGGCTGAGGCGGATACACAGTCCTCCGAGAGCACGGAAGAGGGTGTGATGGTGGCTTCAAGTGGGGAGGAACAAGTGAACTCCATTGGATCTGATGGGGAGGATCAAACAGAAGAGGAACCTAAGCCCGCCCCTGTGCGGCGATCCAAGCGCGGTGCAAAGGGAGGCAAGGCACAGGAGTAGATTATCTTTCACTACTTTTATCTATTTGGAAATGCCAATTAGCTACATTGCTTCCGATGTCACCAAAGGCAGTCCAAAATCCAAGGTTTCTTATATGGTATCTAGCTAAATAAAATCAAAAGTTTCCAGTCAAAATCATGAGATCATTCAGAGCAAGCTAATTCCCCAAGTCATTGGCTTCGAGCTCATGTAGGGTTCAAGCCAATGGATGCAACGTCAAGTGCTCAATGGCAACATTGGCAACCTTAACCTCAGCCTCTTCGGCAGAAGCACAACCCTCCACCAGCGCGATCTCAGTCTGATTGACCACCGCCGAGCACCGATACGTAGCCGTGCCTCCAGACTCAACCCTCTTCCTCTTGAAGACCAAGGTCCCAGCTCCCTTCACCATGTTCTGCGCAATGTTCCGCGGATGAACAACATTAACCCCGTCGGCAATAACACGCTGGATGTACCACACCAGTCCGATACGTTCGACGAAAGCGTGACACACATCCAGATTTCCCCCACAGTCGATGAAGATCGCCCCAAGAACACTCTCAATGATGTCCGACAGGAATTTATCCGCACGCAGACGGGCGAACAACTCCCACGGGTACTGGCTTCCGTGTTCCAAGGCATCGCGGATCTCAATATGGAGACCTTGGTGCCGCTCGAGACAAGCTTCCCGGGCGGCTTTGATGTTAGGCCCATGAGAGCGGAGGAAGCGCCATAGGTGGATCTCGTCATAGTGTGGGATAAGGCTGACCTCGCCGTTGGCGCATTGGGTCATGTGGGAGGGTTCGTCCGGTGCGCATAGCTCCATGCAGAAGAATGCCAGGAGGTTGCCGTTCACGACGGAATGTTTGAGCAATGTCATTGGCCCCTGGTCCATTTCCACGGGATGGGCTGCTATCACTGCCATGACGACCATGTCGAGGACGGCATCACCAAGGAACTCGAGGCGTTGATAGGATTGTGTTGATGTATCGTACTCGCAGGATGCGTGAGTGAGCGCTTCTGTCAGGAGCGCAGGATCTTTGAAAGTGTATCCAATGAGACCGGCCAATCGGTGGTGGTTGATTAAGTTGCTCACACCTTTACCTGGTGGTAGGATGAGGGGCGAGATTTCATTCGTGAAGAGGTCGATCTCCGGTAAGAAGCGATGCAGACAGGCTTGCGCTTTGCGGATGCCACCGTCTACGTAGGCTGCGCCAATGAGAGATTCCACAACATCTGCCAGGACCTTGATTGAGATGTTCCTCTTGGCTGTCGATGGTTCCAATTTATTCCTGATCAACGGTACAGTCCATTTCCGGGGGGTGAATCGGTTCGTTAGGATAAAGCAGTCAATTCCAGTGTCGAGAGCTGCACGAGCAAGTCGATTGTTCTGGATGTGTTTATCACGGCTCTCCGAGAGGTAGCCCTCGTGCCAGTTGGTATTCCGGAAAAAGAGCTGGCAACTGACGGTGAATTTGAGAACCGAGTCACCAAAGAACTCAAATCTCTGATAGTTGGTACTGGCCTGTGCAATAGGCGCGCTGATAGCTGTAATAACGTGATCGATGTTTTCGATTCCGACTCCTTTCAAAATGGTATCGTTCAATCGATGTGCGACCAAAGATGCCTCCAGTCGATCCAAAATGGCGGAGATGAAAAGTCCAAAGAGACCCTGTTTTGCTGGGAGCTTGTCGATAACGCAAGCTGCAGCAGGTAGAACGTAAGATTTCTTTGGTGCATCTGTCTCTCCATCATCGGTAACATTCATAGTTCGCACCTGGAGGAGATTTCGGCGACGGGGAAATGATGAACATTCCACTTCAATAGGCGACGCCTTTGTCACCTGGGCTGGAACAATCCATTTGTTGAATGTCCGTGGCTCGCTGAATTTCGACTGGTCACGGACGATACCCATAGGTGCGGTAGTTGGGTTCCTCGAATAGACTTCCAGCGCTGGCTCTTTCCCTTCATACATCGCAAGCCATTGCCCTAGGTGTTCGTGTGAGATATCGGGGATGAAGAGAGCCGCGAAGTCGCGGTTGTCTCCCCCGCTGGCGCGAGCTGGGTGCTCGTAGATAGAGCGCTGTGATCCTTCTCATTTGATCCAGTGTCTCCTCTGTCGTCTCAAATGTCGACATTTGCGGTTCAAAATGGAGTTCCAAAGGGGTTTCGGAGTCCCAGTAGAGAGGAATGGGGTGCGGCATCGGAGTCAACCTTGGCAAAATTAAGCAGATGGCCAGATCTTCGTCCATAGAACCATTGCTGTATATCTTCAAGCGTGTCTGGCACAGCTGACCCAAAGCCCAGGCTTGCGCAAGGTCTACATACGGGTCATACTGCTCTGCAACTTGCAAAATGGACGGGAGAGTCGTCTGGTCCGAGAATCTCAACTCTGGCTTTCGTGTTAATGGCAAGAGGTTGTCGTTGATCAACCCATACGAATACAAAGCTTTGTAGGCTTGAAATGCGGTCTCCTTTCTGGCTGCTCGCTCTGTCCGCCACCAGTATTTCCCGTTTGCACGTCGAACTGTCGGGTGCACAGAATTCGGTAATGTAACCGTACCCAAAAGCAATCCTGCGCTGTTTTCTTGGAAGGAAAACATTGGTCGGTTGTCGGAATACTCGTCAACTGGTAAGACCGCGCAAAAGTGATGCAAATGCTGCACTGCGTCATCCGCCGTCAATAGGGCACTGTGAACCAGCTATTAGCAAATATCAAGGGAGGTCCTCGGTTGCCATTACTTCGTCTTTTCCACCCAAAGCCTCTCTTTCACATGCTCCTCGGCGGCCTCAAGTTCAAAAGCTTCCCGACGCTGTCGCTCATCATCCTGATATGCTTTAATCATAGCATGCTCTAGCTCCTGCCATTTGTGAAGACTCAACAACTGATCCTCATTTGAGATCATGACAGCATATGTGGATTCTCTATGACGAGCACGCCCACGCCTCTGGACAAAGGACTTGAGGTTCGCAGGGTTGTCGTAACAAATAACCAAACTGCATGCGCTTATGTCGATCCCTTCTTCGAGAACGTCAGTTGTGACAATGAGGTTTTTGCGACCAGCTTTGAATTCGTCAAGAGTATCTCGCTGCATATCTCGATGAAGTAGGTCACCGAGACAGCCCTTGCGATTTCTATCACTCGACCAACCAACATAAGAGGCACACTGGAAGCGATCTCTGGTCTTGGGATGAAGTGATAAAATGCGAGCTAAGACACTGACAGTTGCTCTCTGTTTGGCGAAGAGTAGCCCGGAAAACCCAGGCCTGTCCATTCTTTCAAGGAAGTTGAGAAGCACTTCAAGCTTGATGGATATGTGACTACTCTCCTCAGCTGAAACTGGGGCAGGCATTGCAAGGAGCAGTTCCAACAGGTAAATTCTCTCCATTTGATCCAAATGTGACATCTCACTAGCATCTTGAATTGAACACTGAAGTTGGTCAATTGAAGCGCTGATGAAGAAGTCGGCAGCCCAGCCTCCCAGCTCCTCATATATGTGACGGGCGCGCGCCTGAAAGTTATTCAGTTGCTCGCTACAGAAGGTTTTACCTGTGGTGAGAGCCTTCGTAAGCTCCACAGTCTGATTCTTTGACCGTAATGATTCAATCCAAGGATCGTCTTCTATGTTATAGGCCCTGCAACATTCTATCAGGGATGAAAGTAGTTGGCCTCCAAAGCCATACTGTGCTTCGTCAAAAGGCATGTAATTGAGACGTTCTAGGTGAGGGCGATGGGTATTTTCCAAGAGCTCAGTGCGATAGACACGTGGAGTCTTGCATACTGCGTTCAAGTTGGATTCGATTGTTCTGGGGGAAGATTGTCAGTTGCCGAAGAGACTCACTAGCGTAAGATAGGTGGACTGACTCAAGCTCGTTTGGGCTCGACCGGACTATTGGGCTGGCAGTGAGTCCCAGGATCCGAGGTACAGCATTTGGGCCTGACCTCAGCAGGGAAGGATGGTAGTGGTTTTGCATAATCTTGTTCGCCGGATGGCGTCTAGTGCAATGGTGAGCTGTATTAAATATTTATTAGCCTGGATTATGGGATGTCTTGAAATGTGTCACGTACCCTCATCAAAGATAATGAGTGCAAGCCGGGACATGCGAACAAAACCATGACCCAAAGCATCAGCAAGGACAGCATATGTCGAAACAACAACACGGACGTCTTTGAGAACTTTGTCCCAGACACCTTGTTCAGTCCATCGGTCAACATTGTCCAGACCGGTTAAAACTTTCGTTTTCACCGAGAGGATTTGGCTAGTGATAACTTCATGTTGTTGAAGACTCAATGCCACAGTTGGGGTAAGAAACCAGATAAGCTGTGATACATGTAAGCCGAGAATAAATACAAGAGTCCACAGGTTTATTTATTCACTTTGTCTGGAGAACTACAGTTCTCGAGCTCATGTATGATCCGAAGAATGGCACTACAAAGAAAAATGTCAGAGAAATGTGCCGATAAAGGAATGTCATCTTCAAACATGCATATGAGTCTTTCCACTGCCCGTATCCATCTATTAATAGTCAGTATCTTATAAAGGTCTCATTGAAACAAAAAAAAAAAAAACATACCGCGACAATAGTATTATCCTTGAGGCTAGCCTCTAACATTTCGAGCTGGTACCCACGAGACCGGTAGGCAGCACCATCACTACTCAGACCCGTAGAATCCATGATAAGCAAAAAGTCTCAAATGAGACTGTAAACAATATGACGCCAAGTGTAAGAAAAAGTAGAGAGAGAAGTGAGATGAAAGAAATCAAGCGATGCCCAAGAAAGCTGTTTGTTGGTGGGGGGAGCTACGGCATCCCGCAGCGGCCATCACGCAGCTTTGGTCCAATGACCGTCAAGGCCTGGCCGATTCCCGTTTGGGCGTTGTATACTTGCTTCACTTGAGAACCTCACACTTCCATTTTATTCTCTCTCTAATTGTTTTTTTCATGTCTTCTCATCTCCCCATTAAAAAAAAGTCATCATCTTCATCAACCTCTAGGTATTGAGGTAAAGGGGGATCGCATTGCTATTGAAAATGCTTTCAGCTACAATTCAGCCATGGTCTTATTTCAATAGCAAGTTGATATACTTAAGGAGAGCCCCGTCAAACAGGCCATACTGAAACATCAGAGAATAATTGGACAGGGTAAGAACGGAGAACATGCCCACAGAAGTTTTGAAAAGGTGTTTAGCAACCTGTTATATAGATTAATACTATGTGGGGAGAAAGCAGAAGAAGGATCATTAATTGATTAAAGCTAAAACTGCAGGGGTTTATATACCCTATTAAATCATCCAACAAAGGCTCAGTCTATAGCAAATACCAAATAGCAAACATGCAAATGACAAACATGCATGCATATGATTCAACAAAAGGAAACAAAACACCTCTATACTTCTACAACCCCTGAGATAAAGTGACATCACTTTCCTATATCAACTTGAGAACAACATAGAAATATGCAAAGAGGAAGGTGATCCACAGCGGTTGTTTTCCCCCATTGGAAGACACGTTGTTGGGGTAGTCTTGGCGTACATTTCACTCCCCTTTTGAGACTTTTGCTTCACATGAAGGACGAATATAGAATGGAAGGTAATCCATAGTTGACAGGCCTGTGGGTCATAAATTCAATATTACCTTCCAAGTGAAGGAGTTTTCTGCAACTTTCAGTTGTAGGTCCCTAACCTTGATCGAATATATATAGTGGAGTAGACAACGCCAATGTGATTTTATTTAATCAGTATCATTCATAACTGGAAAATCGAGGAAATCCCTGTACCAGGCAATAATTCCAGACAAATTTCCCGAACTGAGATTCCAAAATCATGTCGCAAGCTCTCGATCTGTCGCTGTTGAAGGGGTCCCCCGAGGAAAGAGATGCGATTGCGGCAGACCTACTATACACACTCAAGACGCGTGGAGTGGCCAAGCTAAAGAACCATGGGCTTCCGGAAGATCTCATTGCCAAAATGTTTGACTACGTAAGTAGTTAACTCAAAACGAAATACTGTACCTCCACTGACCATCTTTGCAAGACCCGTCGATTCTTCTCTCTTTCACTAGAGGATAAGATGACTGCCAAACATCCGCCTGAGGCAAACCCCAACCGTGGGTACAGTTATGTTGGCCAGGAATCAGTCTCTTCCATTAGTGGCTATGACAAAGGCCTCCCCCAAGGGAAGTCAGTTCGGGATATCAAGGTGGGTGCTTCCTGCATGATCGGCGGTCAACATCCATTCTAATAAGGACAGGAAACCCTTGATATGGGCTCCCCATACGACAACCTTGTTGACAACATCTGGGTTGCTGACGAGAAACTTCCCGGCTTCCGCAAATTCATGGAGGATTTCTATGAAAGCTGCTTCAAGGTCGAGTTGGAGATTCTCGAAGCGTTGGCCAAGGCCCTTGAGATCTCAGCACCAGATCTCAAATTACTACACAACAAGGCCGAAAATGAATTCCGTCTGCTTCATTATCCAGCTGTGCCAGCATCCGCTCTAGAAGATGGAACCGCCACGCGGATTGCAGAGCACACCGACTTTGGCACGATTACCATGCTGTTTCAAGATTCCACTGGTGGTTTGCAGGTGGAAAACCAGCAAAATCTGGGAAAATTCCATGATGTCGTGTCAGGTGGCAAGTCGGAGATCATTCTGAACATCGGAGACTCCCTCCAGCGCCTGACAAATGATACCTTCATGGCTGCATGCCACCGGGTAACTTATCCACCCACCGTCAAAGTGGGTTCTGATATGATGATCCCCGAGCGCTACTCTGTTGCCTATTTTGCGAAGCCGAACCGTATCGCTTCTTTGTTTCCATTGAAGAGGTTCATTACGCCTGCTACTCCGTGCAAATATGAGGATATTACCGCCTGGGACTATAACAATCTGCGAATCGCCAAGTTGTTCTCCTAAACAGTCGTCAGACCATAATATGGCGTCTAGTTATACATGTATTTATGTGCTTATGTTACCATTCAGATTATGACTGTTATCGAATCTAAATCGTAGCTATGTAGGCAATTTTGCAGAACAATTTATGTCTTTTCGAGTAAATCTGCTAGTGCGCCTTGGACAGGTACATATTTTAGCCTTCGAGGTAGGCATCGTTGTTTGACGTCTACAATATTTACCTGGCTCAAAACAACATTGGAAGATTACAGACATGACTCCTCGACATATATCCACAAGAAGAGGGGGAAATGACCCAATAGGCAAGAGGTTCCGAGGCCTTGAATCTTCGGCCTTTCAGATCTAACTATTGAGTGTTGCGACCGGAGGATCCTACTTACACATAAATACGGACTGTTGTTGAATAATTGTCTTTTAAGGCCTACTAGACACGGGATATAAAGCTCAATAGCCTCCAGGTACATAGTTGGTGCCTGCGATATCGATATCGGAATCACATTCCCGTTTGGGCATTGTCCCAACGGAGACTCAAGAGCCCTTTATCAGACCCGCAACTTCCCCGAGGCACAACATCCCTCAAGATGCAAGGAATTGTACAGTTAACATTTATTAATGACAAAGAGGATATTCGATGGTTGAATGCAGGAAATGCGGCCAGGCACCGCCACCCGATCTTCACAGGTCTGCCTTTGATTCCAACCCCTATGGGCTATTTCTGACGATGTTTGGTAGATGTCGAACGCCGAGATATGACACTTGAGGTCGTCTCTTCTGTACCCGACCAGAATCCAGACCAGGCAATTGTTGATCTAGAAAGACTCGACTCGGACATCAGTTTCTCGAAACCAACCTCGCTTTTTCGGGGACCTTTTGGTGCTTTCAGATTCCTACAACCGCCGCAACTTGAACCATCACCCCCCAATGGGGATGAGTTGCCTCCATCCTTCGTTGACTCGTTCGAGCAGCTTGAGGAGATGCCAACAGAGGAAGATTTTAACCAGACTATGTTCAGTTTGGACGCCCTGGTTGCTCTGGATGCAGACTACAGTGACAATTTGATGTTAGAAGAGCCCAGTCTAGAGCCACCTCAGAGCATTGGGACAAACTTCCACGATCCGAGTCTACCAGCAGGACTTAATCCCTATTTATCCGTAGGTAATGTCGAGGGCTGGAGTCTGCTATCTCATTACAAAGACCGAATCGTCCCTTTGATTTCTCCTTTACGCCGTGGAAATGAGACACCTTGGATGAACCTGGTAATACCATGCGCAATGGGAACTTTAGCAGAACTGATGCTGAATGGGTCTTCGAACCATGCACGGCTTGCCCTATTAAATGCCGTATGGGGCACAAGTGCCTTTCACTTAGGGAATAATTCAGTGGCTTGCCTTGAACATTGGAAAGCCTCAGGAGGGATCTACTTGATGCGCGCCCAATACCACTTCCAAAGATGCATGGAAGAAATTTGTATCTCGGCAACAAAGAGGAGCAAATATAAGGAGATTCTCATGGCAATGCTCAGTCTTTCAAACGCTTTTGTACGACTTCGATACGGGTCCGCTGTACACAGCTAACATTCTCCCTCATCCAGATGATAAAAGGCGACCCGGAAATGCGACGCGCCTACCTTGTCCAAACAGAGAAACTCATTTGTGTCAAGGGACTTAGCCAACCGGCGCTGTCAGCCAACAAAAGAGCATTGCACCACTGTTATGCCTATATGCGAATTATGGCTGAGACAACCTGCATTGCTGATAGATTGACCGTGAATCCCACCGGGACAAGCGATACTTTGAGTGACACCACAACATATGGAGGAGACTTCCGTGTCTATCCCAATCTAATATTTTCAACGACCACAATGAGCATGGAAAAGGACCCGGGTATGGCGCAACGTGATCTCCATCTTGCGATACCCGGTCGATGGAGCTCAACATTATTTCCCACATTGTACGGAATCGACGAAATATTTCTCATGATACTGTCCCAAGTGATCCGCCTTGCGAACGAGCGAGATTTGTCAATGATGTCCGATGCAGCAGAAAGTCCGCTCGGCTTGAAGGAATTTTGGACTCGAGCAAAGGGCCTGGAAAAGGCTATAGACCATTTGATATCCACTACTAATCCAAGCTGTGTTCAACCTTACGATGGAACCCTCGCGGTAGTCATGACCGCGACAGCTCAAGCGATGTACATGGCACTATCAATCTTCTTCCATCGCCGGATATACGAGATTGATCCTATAATGCTCCAGGGCAAGGTCGCTGCAATTCGGGGCTACATAATCCAAATCCAAGAGGAGGAAAATCATCAGAAGGATAGTAGTAATGCTGCGCTGATCTGGCCGGCTTTTATCACTGCCTGTGAGGCTGTTAGTCCCGAGTTACAGGTGTTCTTTTCGTCATGGTTTGATAATTGTGCTCGGACGACAGCGTTGGTTCATGCATCAGTTGCTCAACAGATATTTGAGACAATATGGACCAAAAGGCGCGATGTGAGCTTGTGTGGTGGAACATTTAGCTGGCCAGATATTTTGCGGGGTGGGAACATCAAGTTTATGTGTATATGACGAGTTACGAATAAGAGGAAATGCGGTGTTACTACTACAAAGAATTAAAATACCTGAATTACTAGCAAGCAGGGTGAGAAGGGTGAGGAGAGAGGAAGAGGAAGTGCAAACTGTATGGGGATATGTATATCATCCCGACTTGGTTGTTTCCCTTTTAGGATATGTCATGCCTGGATTATTAAGCCTCAAACTGAAAAAAGCGGCAAGGGCTGAGCACTAAAATGGAAAGGGAAAGCGAACCAATCGCAGAAGGTATGTACTCCCCGACCACTGATTAACTAACTGCATATGTACCTAGGTAGGTATTTATTGAGTTTAATATAAGCAACAAAAGAGGAGAAAAAGTCCTGAGGGAATGGATACAAACATCAAGTACCTGTATAGATATACAGAGGGTTGAGGGAAACTATATCATAATTTCAAGATGTTTAGGGGGTTATTGTTGCTTGAGTACGGAGTATATCCATACCTACAACATAGGAAGCCCTAGAGCCCCGGGCCGAGGTAGATGATTACAAAGTACAAGACCAGGTGCCCAGGTGCCTAACTAACTAGGTGGCACGGCAGGGCTAACTACAACATAATTACTATTAGTCAGATCCTACGGCCAGATCCTACTCAGTACAATTCAACATTTCTCATATAACCCCGGGTAACGTTCTCTGCCATCTAGAAATGGCTATTTTGTCAGCGCATCATGTATTGAGGGTCGAAGACCGGAGTCTATCGCATCTCGGCGTATTCCGCCAATGAAACAATTGGTCATCTTTCCAAGGTTGTAAGAGCTCCCCGTTATGGCTTTCCCCGCACGCCCCGGATTTTTCACTCTATGGCCAATGATAATGTGAAGAAATTCAACTTCGCGTCATATTCTTATATTATTATGTATTTTTATTTTTATTTTTCGTTTAAGCTAGGATATTGTAGAAGCCTGCCCCAAAACATACATATGTAGAAGCTGTATAATACGCGACCGGTCATTGGGTCCACAGGGGTTGTACCATTTAAACTGCGGGGGTGTCCTCTTCTCCGACACTTTTCTTCCTCTTCATATTCCCCGTTTTATTTTCCATAACAACTTTCATCATGGGTGAGTGTCCTGTTGCGCATAAGAAGAGCAATGTTGCTGGTGGTGGCACCCGGTATGATCCATTCCATATACCTACCCCTTATGGCTCCAAATACTGATTTTATGCTCCAGCAACACTGACTGGTGGCCTAACGCCCTGAAGCTGGGTATTCTGCGCCAGCATACTGATGCCACCAACCCTCAAAGCAAGGACTTTGATTATGCCGCTGCTTTTAAGTCTCTCGATTACTGGGGCCTCAAGAAGGACCTCCACGCCCTTATGACCGACTCTCAAGAGTTCTGGCCCGCTGACTTTGGTCATTATGGTGGTCTCTTCATCCGAATGGCCTGGCATAGCGCTGGAACATACAGAGTCTTTGATGGACGCGGTGGTGGTGGCCAGGGCCAGCAGCGTTTTGCACCATTGAACTCTTGGCCTGATAACGTCTCCCTTGGTAGGTTTCCATTGGTAATCGAGTTTGCATTTATATTATACTAATAAGTATCTTCCATTTTCAGACAAGGCCCGCCGATTACTTTGGCCCATTAAGCAGAAGGTGGGTAACATACACTTACATACTAGATTTCTCCATACTAATTCTGGTACTTAGTACGGTACCAAAATCTCGTGGGCAGATCTTCTGCTTCTAACTGGCAACGTTGCCTTGGAATCTATGGGCTTCAAGACATTCGGATTTGCTGGTGGTCGTCCTGACGTCTGGGAAGCCGATGAGTCGGTGTACTGGGGAAGTGAGAACGTCTGGTTTACTAATGAGGCTCGTTACGAGGCCGAGACCCCAGAGGAGAAAGATAAACAGAGCGATATTAAGACTCGAGACCCTGAGGACCCACTGGCCGCGGTCGTCATGGGCTTGATTTATGTCAACCCTCAAGGTCCTGATGGAAACCCCGACCCTGTCGCTGCTGCCAGAGATATCCGTATCACATTCGGTCGTATGGCTATGAATGACGAAGAGACCGTCGCCCTGATTGCTGGTGGTCATACTTTCGGAAAAACACACGGTGCTGCAGCCCCTACCGATAATGTTGGACAAGAACCCGAAGGTGCTGGCATTGAGTCACAGGGCCTAGGATGGCACAACAAGTACGGTTCTGGAGTAGGCTCTCATGCTATTACCAGTGGTCTGGAGGTGACCTGGACCAGTACTCCTACTAAATGGAGCAACGCCTTCTTGGATTATCTGTTCAAGTTCGATTGGGAGTTGACCAAGAGTCCGGCTGGTGCTAACCAGTGGGTCGCCAAGAATGCGGGCGATATCGTCCCCGATGCCTTTGACTCAAGCAAGAAGCACAGGCCTCATATGTTGACCACCGATCTCTCTCTGCGATTTGATCCCGCTTACGAGAAGATCGCCCGTCGTTACCTTGAGCACCCTGATGAGTTTGCCGATGCATTTGCCCGTGCGTGGTTCAAGCTGCTGCACCGTGACATGGGTCCTCGCACTCGCTGGCTGGGCCCTGAGATCCCTAAGGAGGTCTCTCTCTGGGAGGATCCCATTCCTGCTCCCACAAACGCTCTGATCGACACTGGCGATATCATTGCCCTCAAGAACGAGATTCTCTCATCCGGTATTGAGCCCACCAAGTTGATTGCCACTGCCTGGGCATCTGCTTCTACCTTCCGTGGTGGTGACAAGCGTGGAGGCGCCAACGGTGCCCACATCCGTCTCGCTCCCCAGAAGGACTGGGATGTCAACAACCCAGCCCAGTTGCAAGAAGTCCTCAGTTTGTTGGAGAACATCCAAAGCCGCTTCAACAGTTCCCAGAACGGCGAAAAGCGCGTCTCGGTAGCTGATCTGATTGTGCTTGCTGGATCTGCCGCCCTTGAAAAGTCCGCGGGTATCCCAGTTCCCTTCACCCCTGGCCGCAACGATGCCACCCAGGAGCAAACAGATATCGACTCATTCGGCTGGCTCCGGCCCTTCGCCGATGGTTTCCGCAACTACGGCAACTCGACTCGTCGTGTCCGCACCGAGCAACTCCTCATCGACAAAGCCCAGCAGCTGACCCTCTCCGCCCCTGAATTGACCGTCCTGGTCGGTGGTCTGCGTTCTCTGAACGCTAACTGGGATGGATCCAAGCACGGTGTCTTCACCTCCCGCCCTGGTCAGCTGAGCAATGACTTCTTCGTCAACTTGCTCGACATGAGCACTGTCTGGAAACCAACTAGCGATGACAGTGAGCAGTTTGAAGGTTTCGACCGCAAGACTGGTGCCAAGAAGTGGTCTGCTACCCGCGTTGACCTGATCTTCGGTCACCATTCTGAACTCCGTGCTCTTTCTGAGCTGTATGGCAGCTCTGATGCCCAGGATAAGTTTAAGAAGGACTTTGTTGCTGCCTGGGACAAGGTTATGAATTTGGACCGTTATGATATCCCCTGTTTCCCTGCTACTGGCCGTCCTCGCCTGTGAATGATTTGTCGATGACTATATGATATTCTCTAGTGTTATTTAGCTGGATTATGAATCAAATCTACGTATGCATATGCGGGATATTTCTTAGTTCGCGCCTATCGACCTTACGCTATATATAACATCCTCCGTAGCCATCTGTTTCAATATAAGCATTAAGGGCGGCTTTATATACTCTATAAATAGTTTATATACCTAAGCTCATCCGAATCCCTCTTCAATCTGAGATACTACTAGTAGAGGGTGGGGCGTTACTTGCCCTCTAGCACTAGCAGCTCACAAGGAATTATTATCTGGGAATTTTTGGCCTTATAAATAGGATTTGAGCCATGGAGTTGGGGAGCAGCGAACATCATCTGTCCCTCAGGAGCTGTCACAGCCTTTTGCACTGGCAAGCCCTCGTATTTTGCCCTTGTTTTTCTCCTCCCCCATAAGAAACCTGCGCCTAGAATTACGGCAGAGAGAACCCCCAGAGAAACGCCTACACCTATTCCAACTACAACAATTTTGTGATTGTCCCCTGCTGAGCCCCCTGTGGTTGTAGTGACGGTAGCCACACCGGAGTCGTTTCCTATGGCGACTAATATCCCTACAAGGTATAGCGTAATAAGGAAGCGCCGATCTTAGCCAAGAGAACACCGGTACCCCCCTGTTCGCAGTGGTTGCACTGTAGGCATCAGCACAGTTATCGCTGGGGGATGGAGACAGTAAGCAGTAAGATACACGACGCGTTCCGTTTGAAATATCGACCATATAAAAAGCAAGTTACCTACTTGACCTATCCATACTTCTACTGGAGCAGGTTGCTCGGAAATATGATAGGTCAAACCGTGCTGCAGAGCGTTGCACGACGAAATACGGGGGCACGCCCCCACCAGCAATTCAAGATGTCGGGAATCGGGATGAGGGCCTCGTCCCGATTGGCAGTATGGTATAAGGCGGTATAGAATTTGGTGGCATGACATTAATCTGCATGTCCCACTGGTTGGTCCGTTAATAACGTGGTTTTTAGGTTGCCATGAAAACATTCGTGGACAATGTGTGCCGACAGGTGATTGAAAAGCAAATTATGTCCAAATTGGGAGTGGCATTTCACCCTGCCCCTATATGTGGTAAGCCGTTACGTGCCACCAGGGAATACCTTGAAACTGCTAAGCGGCTAGAGGCATGCTTTCAATACTTCGCAACTGAAGGGCTTCCGGACAAGGTTCGCTTTTAGATATATCATGATCCCGGGTGTGTTACGCGCCACTTTGATGCTATTCATCTTAAAGAAGAACCACTCAAATGCAACTGGTGTGAAGTAGGCTTGCTACATCGAATTGCGTCCCAGCGCCATGCTTCTGATGTGCATCGCGTGCGGAGTCGCTGGCGATGCCCGAATCCGATGCAGGGACTTCAAAAACAAGAATAGGCCGACCATGAATAAACGAAGCCATTGACTCGGTATCACTTGACTTCCAAGTTGGAATGGAATCGCATTTGCCGTATCCAGCGAGAATATAGGCCAGAGAAGTTCCATACGAATCCCGCGCGCGAGGAGAACGAGCATAGAGAAAAGCCGAGTCTGCGCCAACCGTCGTGATAAAATCCCCCGTGCGTTTCCACCGTCCACTTTCAGAGTCCTATGTCGATCGTCATTGTTCACGCCGGGAAAGAGTTATCCGCGTTCCCTCGGCCCCTTCACTCCTCTTGTAGAAGAAGCGGGCACTTGCATCGACCTACAAGGACAGCAATGTAGACATTAGCTTAGTTTGCAGGGATGGAATTGATTATGCTAGCATACAGCCACATGGAAAGATAGTAGGCAGAGAAAACCTATGCTTATAACAACATTTCCGAGCTATGATACCGAGTGATATTCTTTCAGGAGTCCATCCTGCCCTTGCGATAGGCGACGATCCCCTTCTCGGTGCTGGAAGCATCTTGCTTGTAGAATGTCTTTGGTTGGCCGTTTAAGATATAATACGCTCCCCTTGTGGTTGCCCAGGTGACTATATGTCAGATCAAAGCTACCTGATAGAATGCAACTCCAGCAAAAACCTCTTCGAAACTAGCTCTGGCTTTGTGCTCGTGCTATACCTTCCACAAGGGAATTCATGTTCGGAGGTCGTTCCAGGAAGCCTTCCAGCATCCCCAATAGGTTCTGCTCCCTTCCACCATACTCCAGAATTCCTCGACGGTACTTATCCCAAGTCTCTCTGTTGTGTGGGTCATGGGCAAAGACAGAGAGGAACAAATCCTGGGCCATAGCCGTGCAACTTGTTCTATCAGCATTATCTAGTGCCACAGCTGGGGCTAACGTACCATAAGTAAGCATAGTAGCAAACGTCATAACCGGCTGTTAGATGAGTGAACGTTCCAAACGCAAATCCATCTCTGCATTCCGAAAAATCCATTCCTTCTATCTCCTCGCGGAGATCATACCACATATTCTGGACATCGAGGTCCGCAATCTCCTTATCCGTACTCAATGAGTGTATCTGTAGATCGAAGATCGATATTGACCTAATCCGGATCATTAATTTCGAACAGCACGGTAGGGATGGTATTAAAGGCCCACATACAGCTGATACAAATGATAGAGTCCCCTATTAAAATACCGATGTTTGATAAGGTTCTCTACCAAGCCCTCTGGGATTTTCGTCGGCGGATTTGGCTCGCTGGGGTGTTGTTTCTGCCAATCTGCTAAATAGTTCTCATCGAGTGTGGTGTAATGGCAGCTTAGTTCCTCTAGGACATCTTTCATCCAGCACCAATTCTCAAGCATGATGCTGGGCATCTCACCAAAGTCAGGGGGCAGTCTATAGCCATGGAAGCGGATGTACTTAGTCCTGGCTAGTAGGTCATGGATACCATGACCCATCTCTATATTTTGTCCTTATTAGATGATCCATATGGGGAATAAACCATTTAGGTGGGTACTTGCCGTGGAAAAGAGTTACTACTTGGTGATGTTTGAGTAAGGCACAACTTGTTGGAGTTGGAGTCGGGAAGGAACACATCAGGATTGTTGAAGGGTATTGCCTGCTTCCATCCGGCCGTAGATAGCCCTATATCGGTTCTATCAGTAAGTGCGAAGTGAATTTGAAGGGGGAACAAATACACATTGAATATTCACGCTTTGGTTGCCGCGATACTTATTCTCCCTCCACAATAAGTCAAAATAGAGGTATCCAACGAAACAATCGTCTTTCGTATCCCATACAGAGAACCCTCGCACAGTATCATGCCAGATGAAATCCTCAGTCAGCCTTTCTGCTGGGATGGAATCAAATCGAAGACCAAGCAAAGAGGCAAAGATGGCTAGCATATTGGTTGCTGTTCTCTCCAAGGGAAAGAACTCCGAGATCTTTAGCTGGTCAATTTGAAACTCTCGTTGCACCAGTTGCTCATAGTATCGCTTTTCCCACACGGGGGAACCCCATCTTCCCTCGGTGATCACTGTATTGTCCGCTCGCTCGCAAATCTTCCAGTCGCCGATTTTGCAATACTGCAATCTCACATCGGCCATAGAGGCAAAGTGTTGTCTGCAGTTGGCTTAGGAACCCCTTCACCCATGATGTGGCCTTCGCCATACGCCTCTCTATCCTAAATTCTGCGTGAGTCGTATATTTCAGGAATTGTGCCTGCCGAGCACGGCGCTTGATAATTTCTTCAAAGAGCGGCTTGTTCTCTTTCAGCTTTGAATTATCCGCCAGGAACATCTTCTTGCGAGTTTCTGGAGAATGGGCATGCGTTAAGACAGCCAGCGTTCCTCCATTTGCGAAAGGCACGAACTTCTTGATTTGTTGGTGGTTTTCACTGATCAGTTCCTCTTCTCCTGGACCATTGTTCCACTTCGCCAACTCATCTTCTGGCACCCCATTCAACTCCTCCAGCGAAAAGCACAACCCCCCCGGCCTCCCTAGCCAAGTTCTGCTGAAACTTCCTCTCTAAATCCGAAATTTCCATTTGCGACTTCTGGTACTCTTCCAACTCCGCATGTCCTAGGATGCCGAGTCCAGCATGCTTATACTCCAATAGCTCCTTCTCCAGTAAGTGCTTCGATTCTCCGTCCAGCGTCTGAAAATCCGGCTTCTCTTTTGCCGCTTGGAGAAGTTTGAAGAATTTTTCATCCGCTGTCCAGAGTGCCGAAGCTCTGAGGTACAGCGTCCGGGCCTCGTCGAACGCGCTTTGGGTTGCGAGGGACGGAGACCCATATTGGAGCATGTAAATCATGCCTAGCTCGCCTTGGACGGAATTTTCGACTTGCACCAAGGGAAGCATGACATTCCTGAACGTTGCAGTGGTAGGAGTAATGGCTTCAAGGATAAGGGCGCGGATGGTATCGTATTCGTTGATTATGCGCTGCATCGCTGGAACAATTTCTTCCGTGGTTAGAACACGGGGAAGGGACTGTGGGAGCGACATCTTTGTTTTATTAGGTCCAGGAAATTTGTTGTAGACACTTGAATCGGGTCAATGGGTGAATATCGACGGATATGTAGATAGTAGAAGGCGAGGTATGTCCTTTTAAAGGAAAGCGGGGTCAAGTGTATAGGTCCGTTCGAAATCAGTTTCACCCTTTTATTCTCTTCGGTTCTTCTTAGATCTTGGCCCGATAGATCAAAGGAAAATTGGAGCATGACTCCTAGCTTTATACATTTTTGTTGTAACGGGGTTCTGAATTATCTCATTTCCAAAAAAAAACGAGCTACGGCAATATCACCGTCTTAGTCTCAATCACCTTACCTATGAACTAAGATGCCTACTTTGAGGAAGCCGTAGATGGCGAGATCCCGATATGCTAGCCGCAGGGTATACATCAGCTAGTAAGTAAGAAGCGTAAATTTCACTTCCCTACTTAGTCTAGGCCACCTAGATTCGTAGTATATGCAGTCTATATCACGCGCTAATATATCCCTGGTCGTAGAGTGCTTTATCTGCCTCTTATATATTGGATCATTCAGCCAATGAGTTAGTATGATTAATAACTCTGATAGCATATGATCGACGTTCGTTGGAACCTAGCCAATCACAGAGAAGAAGCCTTATGCTTGACCTCCACAATATGGAGCGGCCACCGATGGACCTCCGACAAACAATACAACATACGCGATCCCAGGATTCAACCCGGAATCAATGTAGGATATCACTCACCTAACATTATATACGACGATTGCACCAATTATCAGCAGCAGTGGGCACCGCGGGTGAAATTACGAATACAATTACCTCTTCATTTGGCCCCTACAATCATAGACAGGGATTCGTATGCATTGCAACGCTACTAGTTAGAGCACAGAATCCTTTGAACTCCCGGTTAAAAAAAGTGGAAACACTCCAAATTTAATATGCAGATTTAGGGCGCGGAGAGCGCAGACACAAACGAATTTGGTATATAACCATTTCAGGGTTTGATGCTCGGTAATAGGAAGTATTAAACGCAGTTACGCTGCTACTGTTGTCTCATGTGCTATACCCAGCTCGCAGGCCATCCCCCTGGGTTGATCATAATGATAGTGCGTTTTCTAAGAACACAGCGATTTACTATCGCCATACTACTCCTGGGGTTCTTTTTATTCATCCTCAGTGATCTGAAGTGGGATCTGTCTGCATCATACGTTGGTCGATTGCTTGGGCATTACAAGGATATCGGCACCGACTTCCAAGTTCAGATATTCTCTCGGGACCCTTTGATTGTGTACATCGACAACTTTGTGAGCCAGGATGAGATCGATCATCTGCTCAACATCAGGTACAATATCTATCTTTTACCCTGTGACCTCGGCACTATCTATACTTGTTTAAGTATAATTGATATTGACTTCAATTAGCGAGGATGAATGGACGCCCTCAATGGTCTATCCTGGAGGTAAATCACATGTTGACACCAGTCAGCGGGTGTCAGAATCCGCCCTCCTTCCTCGGGATGAGATTGTTCTTCGAATCGAAAAGCGAGCCCTCGCTTTCCAAGGATGGCGTGGAGACAACACATACATGCAGAAAATGAAAACACAAAGGTACGAAGTCAACGGATTTTACACTAGTAGAAAACTCTGATGCGACGCAACGGCACCGAGAAAAAACTAGAGGAAAATGGGGCGTGAAGCTAGCTGTTAAACTAATTGCTTCACAGCCAGGAGCTCATAACCTCTTAGACAAAAGATGCAGGTAAACTGGAAAATTGTCTATTGCGCAGAGAGGGAGAGAGAAGAGAAGAATATCTAAGCTAGGTGGAGACAAATAACTGGGAGCAGACATGCAAGGTCACGTGACCTCGCAACAGAGATATATCCGATTCAAAAGTGGTGAGCGTGACCTGCATTCACCGACCCGTATTTTCTCCTGCAGATTCCCATTATATCCGAATTGTTCGAGTGCGATGCGAACGCGAGTATACCAGCCTGTTAGTAATATTTAAATCCAGACTATTGACGGTTGGACAGAGAATCGGTTTTCCTCCTAACCTCTTTCTGAATTATCTCGACAAAATGGTTCTGAAAGTCCTCATTTGCGGCGAAGGTGTTGCAGACCTCGCCTTGGCCTACTAGCTCGCATGAACCGGTCGCCAAGTTGTTGTCGCCGAACGTTTTCCTGTGCTGAGAACCACAAGTGCCCAGATCGACCTTCGTGGACAAGGCATTGAGGCTGTCAAACGCATGGGTCTCATAGATGCGGTTCGCCGAAGGCTCGTTGACGAGGCAGGCGTGTCCCTCATTAACACCAAGGGCAATGTCGAGGCGACGATCCTTGTTGGAGCAGATGGACAGGGCTTGCACATTCGAAGGAACAGTCTATACCACCTGGTGCTCCAGACGCATATCACCAGCTCGGGGTAACTATATGTGGCGTACTAGTTTGTCCCATGGGTCGAAAGCGACAACAATATGTGCAAGGCATATATCTCAGCCCCGCTGGCCGGTTGATCATGTCCAGAAGCCACAGTAGAACTTCTGAGAAACCCAGGTCTATTTCATGCTCCGATCTGACTCCACGGAAGTACGGGATATCCCGAAGGTTCCAACTGTGTAGCAAAAGCATTTCTGGGTCCAAGGGTTTCGAGGGGCAGGGTGGGCAGGCCGATCGCTCTATTGGGGACGGACACTACAGAGAACTAGTTTTGTCAGAATGTCATATAAACCAAGACAAATACCTGATACTCCGGTACGGTCGTCCTTGGCGATGCGGCACACTTTCCTCCCCCTTGAACAAGTAGCAGTTGGACGTTGGGTGGACCCCGTGGCAGTGGACTAGAAAATCCCTGTTGTGTTGATCGTATTGATTGGGAATGAATTCAATGAGAATCAGGAGATGATAATTGATACAACACAAAATCCCAAATTACATGTCCAATAAGGAGTACAGGAGTTAGTGGAACCCGATCTATTAATATGTGCTTCTCCTATCGTTGCATCTACTCCCTATGTTATATATTATTGTAGTAGCATTAAGCGCCTAAGCTTTTGAATAAGCAGTACGTGTCACCGTTCACCGATATAAACCAGTTTAAATATTAACGCGGTAAATGTATACATTTTCTTGTTGAGGATATGAAGTTAGAGAGAATACTACGCTTTGGCCCCCCTTTTCCCCAATAGATGCCAAGCTTCAGGCAGCATGAACATCAATCCCCCCCCCCATGCTCAATCCTTCTCTTTACGCCCAACTCCATATATCTTCAGCTCGATCATGATTTCATAATTACCGTCTGAATTCATCTTATGTGAGGCCTGGGCTCCTATTACGGAGCGCCACTAGTGAAAAAAAAAAGAAAGTGATCAGTGCACAAATTTTTGGGCTGGGTTTCTTTGTTTGAGATTCCGAGGATCCCTGTTTGGCGCGCCGATAGCCTCTCGACAGTCGACCCTTCGTTTGCCGTGTCCAATGAACTCTTCAACCAAGATGATTAAGGGGGAGGGGAAACTGGGGGGAGTCCGAATATTTTCAATCATTGCCACCAAAAACCGATTTGGGATTCCCATGCGATCATTGATTGTCTAATGAACCGGAACATCTAGGCCAGATCCCCGTGTGCTAGCATAATAGAGAGCGCATTTACCGCATTTTCTCTCATTTATGCGACGGGGGCATGACTCGACAGTGCCACAATCCACCTTCAACACCAACAGTCAACCTTATCCTGTCCCATCCCGTGGACTAAGATGAGGCGCCCAAAGCGAGTCTCCATAGTATCTATCAGCCAGGTGGGACCTGCATCCAAGCTGTGATCAATATATCCTTCTCTCTTTTCCCCCCCCTCCCCCGGTTGATTTCTCCGCATGGCCTAACCCATTCACACGCCATGGATAACCCGATGAGCAATCTCTCTCCGGAGGCGAGTGCCCTTTTCCTTTCCAACATGGGGACCGTCCAGATAGTGTCTATGTTCGCGATCTCAGCGTGGAGTGCAATTGAGGTTATAATTGCCGTATTCGAGACATTCCAAAAGTATCGTGGGCTATACTTCTGGAGTATGCAAATTGCCGCCGGGGAATCTTGTTACATGCCATACCAGGTCAAATTCGCTATACCAACCTAGCCCCTGCCATTTCCGTGTCAGTCCCCTATGTCATTGGGTGGATGTGGATGGTAACTGGACAAGCGTTAATGCTGTGGTCAAGGCTGCACCTCGTTGTGGCCGACGTCCGCCATGTGCGATGGGTCCTATGGCTCATCATAGCCAATGTTTTCGTTCTCCACATTCCCGTGGGAGTCCTATTCTTTCTCAAAAGTTATGATACACGCTTCGTCCGCGCCGCATACGTCTACGACCGTTTACAGACAATCGGATTCGCCTGCCAAGACACATTGTTGTGCGGCATCTACGTCCGCGAAGCACTCCGAGCGCTCAAGCCCGTCTTCGAATCCAAAGGTGCCCAAGGACAAAGGATCATCTACCGAATCCTCTTCGTCAATATCATCGGCATCGTACTCAACATGTTGGTCGTTGCTGCCGAGTTCCAATTCCACTACTACGTCGCAAGCGGAAGGATACTCGCATACAGCATCAAGCTGAAACTCGAATTCCTCGCCCTCACGCAGCTCCGTGATCTGACACGCACTTACTCATGCACTTTGTGCCGAGGGGCTCATGGCAACGTGAGTAGTTCAGCCGACATCAACCTCTTCGACATGCTTGCAACTAGTCCCCCGTCACAGGATAGCGAGGCGCAAACCTCCTCCGGTGTTACAAATACTGTGTCCCCAATACCGCATTCTGAACGCAGCGGCACGTACGATTTCCACGAGGCAATGCGCCAGACAATGTCGACTGTGAACTCTGATGAGTCACAAGAATGTAGTCGGCCTCGGATGCACTCGTCTGAATCGCATTCTACGGTTGAAATGACATTGCTCGAGCGACCGAAGTAAGAGCAGATGTTGGTGATTTACGGGGGACATAATTTTGCATGCATGATTTTGTACATACTACAAGACGACCTTCGACTGGGGATAGTCGAATCATCACTGGGCGGTCATCTTTTTTGCTTTATACCCTTGTCGCTATTGACATGCTTGTTATTTTATGTTTTGATTTATTTTGATTTGTATTAATTTCTGTGTTTTGAAAAGTTCGTATGACATTCCTATAATACATTGATTGAATTGCTGCTTAACCTTCATATTTTACAACTACACTGGAATATACAGCACGGTATCACGTGGCAACAAAAGAACAGGATGGATGTGAGTATGAATGCGAAATATCAGATTCGATATCTGTGAATTTTCCCGATTTCCATGAAAATCACACAAGAAACGCCAACCTACAGGCCTAACACGTGTACCGGGGTCTGTTTCCACATATGGCAAACAGTCCACGTGTACTCCGTACGGTGCAGATATAACAAAGAAATCCGACATATCCATCCAAGCCCATCCAAGCTATGACCGCCTCATGAATTTTTAGTCGGGATGATTGTTTGCAAAAAAGGGGAGGGGGCGAAGAAATAATGTCAGTGCTCAAGGCCCAGAACATGAGCACAAGAAGTGGCTAATAAAACTAGAAACCTGAATTGCGACATGAGATGACAGGTATGGATGGCTGAATTCCTAAACGGACACGGATAGCTGGTTCTCTTTGTTTTTGATCCATCAAACCTTTGAGTGAGAGGCGAGCCATCCGCTGTTCCCCTATTCGCCAGTCTTGTGGGCAGTTTCAGCTCGAGCCATTGGGTTTATAGCTGGATATTATAGGTATGCTACATATGAACCATGTTACAATGCTAATGCTAATGCTACGAGAAATACCTCTCCCGTTCCTTCGATATGACTTGGAAATGCATATATTTACCTTCTGCGACTCGCCAGTTGAACAACATTTTGACAACCTCACTTTCCCGTCTAAAGAAGATACCGGAAACTGTCGATCTCGCGATCAGTCTTGTTTGATAGTTCATCCTGTAATTCAGCCCCCACGGTGATCTGCTCAGCTGAACCATACAACCTGTCTCGTCGACGATTCTCCCACGTGTAGTAGGAGTATAAACACAGAAGAAAGAAAAGGCTCAAGACCAAGCCCGACATAGACGCCTTGATACCAGTCTATAGTAAACAGCCATGATGTTAATTTCACATTTTACAATATAAATTCCAACAAGAATACAATGGCCACTTACTGGGTACGCTGGCTCCTCCGAGGCGAGGAAAAACTGAGGGCCCACGATATTTCCAACGCAGTATGCGATGAAAAGCAGCGAACTCACAACACTCTTCTTCGAAAATCCAGCAACGTTCGATGTAACGATACTCAACGAGATGGGAAGGTTGATCGCGTAGACGATACCTAACGTCAACCCAACCATTCGCCCGGCTTGATCGTCGGGGTTAAGCTTCCAGATGAGGATCAAGCCCACAATAGAAACGACCGTGTTGAGACACATTCCTAGTATACGGGAAGATGGGACAAAGGTCGCGGTGATGGAGGTAATCAGCAAAAACACGATCTGGGCGGCACCCTGAGGCATTTGCATAATAAGGGCCTTGAGATCAGAGAAGCCGAACCCGGCGGTGATAATCGACGTAAACTAAACCAGTATTAGCTTTGAACGCTAGGGACCAAAAGGTAAATATAAATACTCACGCTGGTAAGACCACCGTTTGCCAGGTTCGAGGAGAAAGAGTTGAGAACCAAAAGCCACGCCTGGGGATCTTTTATGGCTTGAAGAGCCTGTGACCACTTGAACTCACCGGTATCCATGACTCCGGTTTTGTTCTTTAGCGTGCGCTGCACAGCAATAACCCGTTCATTGGGTTTTAGAAATATGGCCTTGGCTGGCGAGTCCGGCAGGAAGACGAATAGTACAAGACCATAACTCGAAGTGATGGCGCCGAGAATAAGGAATAAGAGTTTCCAGTGGGCAATAACTGTCGTGTTAATAGTGCCAATACCGTAGGCAATCACACCACCAATAAGTACAGCAATACAGTTTCCGAAGAACCAGGCAGATTGTCTAAGGTTGTCAGTGAGTCCTTGGTCCGCTTCGATTTAAAAGACTTACCGTAGAGGTTGTTCCTCACGTTTATAAAACATGCCTATGAGCAATGTGAAGCCTGGCGCAATTGACGCTTCGCCTGCCCCTAGGAAGAAACGGACGACCATAAGTCCACTCCAATTAGAGCAAGCAGCATGACACATTAGGACTCCACCCCAAAGAACACTTGTATTGTCAGTCTCATCCTCGGCGATATGAATTTTGCAGTGGGGAAAGACCTACACTGAGACTGAGACATATTTCGCAATGGGAAGTCGGACAATAATATATGAACTAGGCCTGTTGTTGCGTTAGTATTGGTGCTGAGTGCTGACAGGTGGGAGATTGAAGAATTGGATACTTACCAACTCCAGGCAAAGTAACCAAAATAGAAGATCGCAGATGCCCATGAATATTCTGATCCTTTCAAGTTCTATGACTTTCAGTCAGCCTATCTTCATCAACAAACAGCTGTATAGGAATACATACCAAATCTTCTCGTAAATTAAATAGTGTCGCCTGACTCAGAGCGAGCTTGTCGAGGAATTGAAGGAAATATGCGACGCCCATTAACGGGACCAGACTTCCTTGGATCAGATACATGCACACACACATAGGTATAATCCGGAATACTCACATAAGATCCAGTTTCCACAATACCTTTCGTTCTTCTTTGGGTGTTGGTTGGATAGCGAGCACTTGGCCAAGATCGAGATCCCGGCCAAGTGATTCACCTCCATCCTTCATATCCTTCTCATCTAAGTTGGTCTCGGAAAGTTGCATCGCGAAAAATTAAACAAAAGCAAGTCCACCAGATGAGGCACACTCATTGCCTTCTTATTCAAAAATCCTCAACACAGCCGGTATCGCTTCTCAACTTCGTTGCCACAGAATCTGCCCAACAAAGTTTGCTTGGACCTACGATTCCTGAAGTCTTGAAGTCCCGGTGGGTTTCCGCGGTGGACCTTTAAGTTATCATTCAGAGAGAAATCTCAAATGTGTCGACCAATTGAAACTCATAGTTTAATTTTAAGATTGGTATATCAGAATTTCCCCGCGATACCCAATGCCGGAGAACAGGCGAGCCTGTCAATCGCTCGGCACCCCACTTCCCATAAATACGTCGTCAATTAAAATCTGGGGATTGCAAGTTAACACGGAGCCAATCTGAGGGGGAACATCCACTTCCCCCTCAACGGATGCTAAGTACGGCAATTAAGTCTGCTGTTGATCGGCATCCGACATAGGTACCCAGTTATCTATGACGAGGAGGCATTTTAAGATGCACTACAAAGGCACTACCTAGGTATTCCGCAACAATTGCTAATCATGATTATACTATCCAAGGTTGGCAATGATGTGTCATATACTTGCATTTCAATTTCAAAAGGTCTCAGTCTGATATTCACAAGTCTATGCTCTTCTCAAAGTCCGATTTGATGACAGTGGCGAAACTCTCATCGACTAATACTCGACACGCCACCACGGCCATTCCCGCTGCACAGTGCAAACTACGCTTGAATCCATCTTCAGATCCAGCCCCGGCAGTAAACTGTGGTGTGTGGTTGACACCATCGGCGTGAATATAGAATCCACCGTGGAAGCCAGGTACTTCATATGAGACGTTGCCTATATCGGAGTGAATAGTCAGCTTCTGGCTACAACTGTAATGAATTTAAATATTTACCCATGTCGGTTGACCCCCCGCTAAGACCTCCTACCTGCCCTACGGCATTGAAGATAGTATTGTGGCCCATAGCGTTCATAGCAGAGACGTAGCTGTCACAGATAGGCGTATTGATCTTCATATCCTTATACGCGGCCTCCCTAGCAAAATGGGGTTAGCGAAGCGTATCAATAGAACGTCGCCAATCATCATACCATTCGAATTCCACCGTGCAGCCAGTCGCAAGCGCAGCAGCCTCAAAGCATTTCAGCACTTTCTCAGTCAACGGTTTCAATGTCTTCACAGTCTCCGATCGCATATAGTATTCAACCGTCGTAGAGGCAGGAATAACATTCGGTCTCTCCCCACCTCGCGAAATAACCCCATGAATCTTTTGCGTAGGCAAGATCTGCTGTCGCAGCATCGAAATGTTCACATACGCAGACACCACAGCATCTAGAGCATTGACGCCCTCCCACGGGGCCGCCGACGCATGCGCCGGTTTGCCAGTGAATGTCACCTGAACCTTGTCATTTGCGAGATACATCCCCGTGCATGAACTCGAACTAATAAGATCCGGGGCGCCGGAAAGTACCGGGAATGGGTGGACCATGAAGCATGCGTCTACATCTTTGTATGCGCCCGCGTCGATGAGCAGGAGTTTTCCACCCCCCGCCCTCCTCGGCCGGAGTCCCCAGCAACCGAATCGAATACCCAAGTCCATCGGAGTACAGTGTAGCCATTGCCTCGCAGGTGGCCAGGAAGGCTGCGATGGAACTCGTGGCGATCAGATTGTGGCCACATGCATGTCCCATGCCGGGGAGGGCATCGTATTCGGCGTTGAAAGCAACGATACGTCCGCCCTCGCCCCGGGTATAGATCACCTCAAGCGCGGTCTCAACCCCATAGGCCTTTCTATTAACCTGATATCCAGCATCGAGCGACTCGAAGAATTCGCAGATATTGTCGCGGGCGTTGTACTCCTTGAAGGCCAGTTCGGGATTCGACCAGATCTATTGAAGGTTAATAAAGTCGTGGTGGGTTTGCTAGATGGATAATACACACCTTCTGATTAATCTCACTGAGCTTAGATTCGTATTTATCCAAGGCCCCACAAACATTGTGGATGATCTCTGCTTGTCCCTGTACTGGCAACATTTTGTTCAATCACAAAAAGAATTGGAATTGTTCACGAATTCTGGGACTGGGCAATGCAACCTTAAAAAGGCAAAGAGGCAAGGAAGACCAGCCCCAAAAAAGGAACGCTGTGCCGAACATCATCTCCGAAGACAAGACATCAAGACACATCCCAAGTGGGGTGGAGCGGGGGTTGTTTAAAGGATTCCGCAGTGGAGAAGCAAAGCACGTCCATCCATCCCATTCTATTATGTTGTATGCAAATCTACACTTCAGCCACTATCTCCAGAATAACCAGACCCGGCAAACAGACTTGCAGAATAGGCCTGAATGGGCCTCTGATCCAAAAAGATGCGCATTTCAACGATCTGTAAATCCGACTCATCACGACCTTCCAGATCGAGGATGTTAAACTCTCGGACTCGGACTGCGAACTGGTCAGGGTCCTCTTTGAATGTTGTTTCGGATGTCGCTTCGAACATAACTGTGCGCTTCATTTGGATGTTCCCTGCTAACGGGGCATAGAGCTGTCCCTTTTGTGCGGCCTCTGCATTTGGGGCGGTCCTGCTGTACGATGTTTGGACAGGGCCTATGTCCCTCCCGAGGTCTATGTCCCAGGCGAGATGGACATCATGGTGGAACTTGCAGATGTGATGGCTGCGTACTTCCATGAGAGGGACTGCTTGGCTTGCGGCTGTTGGTGGATCGCTGCCGATGAGGATGGGAGCGCTGGGTGTGAAGAAAGGGCTAATGGGAGTTTCGGCGGGAGTGAGGGAGTCTAGTGCTGGTAGGAATCTTCGGAGGAATTTAAGACCTGGTGAGGCTGTGGTAGGAATGGCCTCGTAAGGGCCATGGTGGATTGAGACAGTGCTTTCCATGCTGCATCGACTACGAGAGAAAACACTTTTAGATCTAAATATGTTCCCAGTGATTTTGATCTCTGATGGTATGTCATGGCGACGTAACATTGTCTTTGAAGTAGTTACATCATGGGGCTGATAATCAACAAATCGTGGGCGTCCGTAGACGACATTAAATTAGTATTGCCAATGTAAATCTGGCACATATGAACAACACAGTCCAATGGTGGATCTGGTGGAATTTTGCAGTGGCTTGGTTGAACCACAAAGTATATTGTACAGGCAGCAGGAATTGACAGCAAGCCTGGTCGAATCTCTCGCTGGGATGCAGGGATCGATGAGAAGGAGCTGTGTAAATGATTCGTTGCGCGAGCGAGATGAAACCAAGGGATTCTGATTCCAACGGGCGGGTTATGGGTTGCTTTTGGCAGACTTGGGGCGATTTTGTGAGCAGATGAAGTAGCAACATTGCGTCCATTGCTCCTGAAAAACCGCGCCATCTGTGATAAGTAGAAAGCTGGTTGGGAGAGTGAGCAACCAAAGCCTTGAGTGTTTGTGCTCTGAGGATTACTCAGACCGTCGGTCTAAGTGATAGAAAGATTCAAAATCACCAGTCTGGTCTCAAGATGGATGCATGCTGTCGTCGGTCGACCTGGTAGATGGACGAATTCTGCGCTCAGAACTGGGCAAACTCTCCATAGACAACGTATTCCACCCTCTTCGTCCCCCCGATCGCAATTCCCGCGGGGCCGCATGAGTGATGTCAGATGTAATCTGGGAAGGATCGACGAAGCCAGGATATTCCTCGTGTTCGGACGAAGTGGGTTGCGATCGATGGGTTTGCACAAGGTCGACTAGCTTTCCAAGCACACCGAACTCGAGCTTCAACTTGATACTATAGACCATGGCCTTCAACGTGGTCTGCAGCGAGTAAAGTCCAATGTACTCCACAAGGAGTAAACAAATATCCAGCAAAATAATGACAAAATTGATGGTCAGCAACTCATACATGATTCTGGATCGCCGTCGGTCCTTGTCTGGCATCATTCTGAGCAGCTTCACGGTTTCGACGATGTAAATTCCTGAGATTACCATCTCTTGGGCACAGAACCAGGCCAATTGCATTCGCTCCATGACATTGTATCCGACAATCATTGACGGATTTGCGACGTACGCGGTACAGAATGTAAGAACGGTCGTTGGGATCAAGAGAATGATCGCGTCGATGATAATCAGCCAAAGAACAAATCGAAGCACTTTATTGTTGTTGACCACCAAATGAAGACGAGAGTATAGGACCAGCGATTGGCCCGGGACCATGACGTAGAAACCGATAGTGGAGAGAGTTAATGAGAACCATAATGGCGCTAGAATAAAAAACCCCAGCAGATAGCCAATGGCGTGAGGGACCACTCCGAGGATTACCGAGAGCAGAAGCGTCCAAAAGTAAAGTCCTCGATAATGTGTGAAGGTCAAAAATAACAATATTAACAATTCAATGGCGTTGTATAATGCGATGGAGGTGAAAACAATCATCAATGTCCGTACTGCCACATTATCGTCACGGAAGCCGGGCATCCCGTCGGGAGATTGCGATAGGTTTGTCATAGTGGCCGACTTAACCAGCCTGGCTGGTTTATATATTCAATGTTGGTATTGGAAAGATCGTAGGGAGGATATTTCATGCCCCGCTTAGTGAGAACCCCGGTACACTTTGCTTGAATTGTACCAGCTCCGTAGCCATGATAGTTGTACTAGTCCGAGCAAATCATTTGCGCCAATGGAGGTTATGTCGATCCAAAAGTATCGAGGTTTGGGGCTCGCTAATCGGACAAAAATGGGGGAAGATTTCGGGAGTGGATTGAGATCGGTGGGATTGATCGCAAGTGCGTTTGCCGAAGAATGCGGATGTAACTTTGGAGATTTTGATGAGGATGATGAGTTCAAGGACTCAAGGCAGGGAGCGAAGCCAAGTGAAGGTCCAACAATGCTGTTATATTGCGTACAGTGAAGAGAGTTGAGTTAAGGAGAAAAGAAAAGTCCAGGGTTATCCGTTATCCCCGGCTTATTCGCCCCCCATGCCAAGCTAAGCCGAGAAAGGGAACCCTTGGAACCGCCACACGTGAACTTCGCACTTTTTTGGGGTTTTTTTTTTTTTTTTTTTTTTTCCAACTTCGAGAGAATAGGGAGGAGTAATAAAACAGGATCTACACTAATAGAATCGGATGATCTTTCTATTCTTGTATAGCATTTTGACTCAATTGCCCAACTTTCCAGGTAGTGGCTAGAGTAGCAGTGGCTGAAGTGGTTATGGTAGATGCAACCTGTAACCCTTTATTATTATTTTATCCCACTTCCTTGGATACTCTGCTTTGTAAGAGAAACAAGATATGTTCGGGTGTCTCAATTACCGAGAATGAATCTTCACAGTTTTACGCTAACCTCCACGGTAGTGGGGAATGTGTTCTCCCATACAAAAGGACAATTGGCCAAGTTCTGTTGCGGAGAATCCACAGACCCAAAAACAAGGGGAACCGTGCATTTCGCGTTGGTGGTCTCGTGACCATGACTTCCCAACCCATATCCCCTATATCCCCTCTTGAATCGGCAAGAAAATATGTCCCAACATATATACGTATGCATACTTTGTGTGCGTACTTTATATGCGTACTTTGTATGCGTATTCGGCCCGTGTCCAAGATCTTCCCGTTGTAGATCTGGCCGCACAGGCCATACATGTCTGAACAAGCGACTATGTACAACATAGTCACTCCAGAGCATATCATAATAGTCGTGGTAAAGAGTCAGGGGAATGCTAGCGGTGGTAAGCATGACAGCCGAACGATGATGCTGTTACAACCTGAGACATGCATCCATATATATTTTCGACCTGTCATCTTTCTGCACTACACTCAACTCTGAAGAAACCTCCTAACTTTAGAAAATCGATATCCTGCACTAGTCTTCAGATCGCAGTGTGGACCCCCTATCGGCTTGAATCTTATTGTTTTCAATTTTCAGATTCCTTGCGGCGCTATCGAGAATATTTGAGCAAAGTGGAACCGGAAATAGTGCAATGGAGCTGTTGTAGGCAAAACTTAAAGGTACAAGACTCTCTGAGAGCCAACATTATAAATTTGATCCCGGTGATTACCACTCGGGCCATGGTGTGTGAAGAAAAAAGAGTGACTCCAGAAAGATCCTCTTATGGATACTAGCCTTACCCTGGCGTGCCACTAATGAATTAGGCTCAACTTATACGTATTCTTCACCCATATGATCTGCATGCGTAGTCCCGGCAAATTTGACCTGATTGACCAGTCTCCCTGGCTTCAATAGTCCATTTAGTCGTGTCATAAATAAACAGATGCAGTATCATGGGCAAGGGAGATCCCCAGTTTTTTTTCCCTCCCGAGGTGACATTTCGAACTCCAGTACATGGTTCAGACTAGTAATAAAAGCCTAGGGTCTCTATGTATCAAGCTGTGTCTTGTCACAACAGATGTGTAGTTATAAACTGATAGGCACATATACGTAGGTAAGTCTGAGCGCTTGGCCTCAAAGGACAGTTTCAGATAGCTTCATTTCAACGGGTTAATCTAGACAATGTCCAAGAACACCGAACGGTACTAGGGTACCGCGAAGTACGGCCCACCCAAACCGCTAGCACAGAGCACCTCAAAAGTCTCAGATCGGACTAAAATTTACTCGGCGAGCTTGGCACTGGGCAATATCGTTAAAAGTCCTCATAAAAGCAGTGGCATAGGGACCCCCCCACCAGGCAGCGAAAGCCCGCTGTGTATGGGCAATATGTCCACCCGTGGACGGTTTGTGATTAGTCATTGAGAAAGTAAACAGATGGATTGAGTTGAAGATTGGGTTGAAGATTGAGTTGAAGATTGAGTTGAGGTAAGAGACAAACGAGGTAATAATGAACTCCCGGCTCAATCTACCATTATACGTAAGAAATCTTAAAACACCACCGAATCATGAAGCCGAAATCAAGGGTATGGAATTACTCGCTGCGCCACACACCATTAGACAAAGGGGGAACATGACATAATAGTAATAACAAAAGGCACAGGAGATCCAGAAGAGCAGTTGAGATAGAATAAGTGTTAAGTGTCGTCGAACATAACGTGACACCAAAGCTGAATAAAG